AGACTTTGTCTCAATTTGTGTCACAGTCATATCATGAGTCAGAATGATTTCATTGATCTGCCCCACTCTTCTGTCTTTTAATGCTGCCATTGATTAGGCAACTGAGACTGTTGTGTAGGAGGAATATCATGACAGTATGAATGAATGTTCTTTTAAAGTATAATTTAAAAACACTGCTTGAAGAATTTCTGTATGTCAAAGAAATTCAAAGACTTTCTTTCCTAATGTGAAAGATTTTCAGCTTTGATTTACTTCCCTATGCTCACCCGGGTAGATGGAAGGTCATTCTCCAGGCCACAAGTGCTTATGAAATTAATGGTGGGGGGCATCTGAGCTAGAACAGATGTCCAGCACTCTTTCATGAGAATTCATGGGGTTCCTCATAGGAAGGAGTCTTGGGACACTTGAGATTCTGTTTAAAGCTCTGGACACTTAGAAAGTGTCCCTTGGGAAAGACATGCCCAAGTATGTACCACAAAAAAAAAAAAAAAAAAAAAAATAGCCTGGGGCTTCAGAAAAGGGAAGAACTGGGTTAACATTTCTCTATTCTGTGGTGGTCCTTATTTATCCTTTTTCATTTTAAATTTCTTCATTTTTAAAGTGGGGAGAAAACCACTTAGAATTATTTACTTCATATTATTGTTGTACAGAATAAAAAGAGATTATGTTTCTTAGCAGGATATTTTATACATAGAAATTGCTTAATAAATATCAGCTCAGTTTCCTGAATGAATAGTAACTAAGTTAAGGCGGGTGGGCTAGGAAAAACGAATGTTTGTCATCAATATGATTGCTTGAAGATAGAGATAGTGCTGCTGTTTTTTTTCTGTAAGTTATGGGAGAAACTTGCCCAGGGAGAAGTGGGGTGTACCAAAATATAGTCAGAAGAGAAAATGTAATCGACTAGTGATTAAGAGCATAAGCTTTAGACAGATGAATTGGCCCTGTTTCTGTGTATATAAAATAGAAATAATGATACCTACAGAGTGTGTAATAGGCCCCTGGTTTGCTTGACCAGCCTATTTCCTTCAATCTCTGAAACTCAAGTCCATTTTCTAAAGGAAGGGCTCTTATAGCCATGCTTATTTCTCATGAGCAGGTTCCCTTAATTGCCACAAATAAAAGGACAAAGGGGTTCACCTGACTTAGGAGGACTTAAACCATTGACTGGGCTGGCACATTCAGCCTAAAAGAGAATTCCTCCTAAAAGAAGACTAAATGACATGATGAACATAAAGTGCTTCACATGGCACCCAGGGTGTAATGAGGGCTTAGTAATTTTTAAATCCAAAGACCATTTCCTGGCATCTGTTCTATCTAAACTTTTTTGTCTACAGTACCTATAATTTGGCCGGTTGGCATAAGCCTAATAGGCAGTGCAGGGGAGACTTTTTCTCCAGGTTTTGGAGTGACAGCTCAAACCAAGAGAAGGATGACATTTCTAACTTTATATCCCTTTCATGCCAGGGACATTTCTGAGTGAAGCATGTATTAAACAGTTTTCCCAGGAAAAGCCTAACAATTCTCATGCTAGAAATTTTAATGTCATGGTCCCAGCCTAGGTAGATTCAGACCTAGGACTGCTTATTTTTAACAAGTCCAACTGGGAAACAGTGGAAGTGAAATATCATTTTAAACACACAACCTTCTCATGAGCACCCTGAGTCAACAGCTTTAGCCCCCAGAAATGGCTGGCCACTTATCTTGTCTTTAACAGGTTCAGTTTGTTAAATGCAGCAAAACTTCTTCAGTAAGGATCCTATCTTTTATGTTTTCTCATTAAACTTGAACAGGCACCATGGGGTGGGGGAAAGGTGACAGTTTCAGCTCCTGTGATCTTAAGGATATCCAAGAGAGGAAAGGCTTTCCTAATAAACAATAAACACACAAGAAAACCTTCTCCTATTGTGGTTATAATCTCAACTATCAATCAATATGTTGAAGACAGAATTTTCATCCATTTATGTACTTTTCATCTTTCACACGTGTTCATTTTCTTTTCTTTTTCAACTTCTTAGGTCATGGAAATATTATTTCCTTTTTTTTTCTTTTTTAAATACAGATCTGAAGGTCATTTTGATTTGTTTTTCTTTTATAGTTTTCATCCTAATTAAATTTACTCAGCTGAATTTACAGATGTGTATATTTTTCATGACAGAATCCCCATCCTCACAATATAGCAAGTTTCCTGTTTGGGGGTTAGCTAACAATGTGATTAATGCTTCTCAGAGATCTTGTAAAGTTTTTACATATGCTGAAAGATTCTGCAAAATTCTGGGCCACCAATAAGAGCTTAGAGAAATACCATTCTTCTAGGGCTATGCACAATGCAGAAGTCATTAAGTCACAGCATAGCAACCCCTACAAACACTTTTCCTTAATTTGTGCATGCATGTGCATATGTGTGTGTATGCACACACACACACATAATCTGTACCCAGCAAAGTATAATCCAGGTTTCTATTCAAAAGGAGCAACCAGTTCAAATGCACAGCTGGGTATGCCAGAAAACACATAATTAGACAAATTGGATTTAAGAGTTACGTAAGGTCTCAACTGAGCCAGTGAATAAGAAGCTGAATGAAACGTTGTGATTGCTGCTCTGGTGCCTGGAAAGAACAGAATATGTGGATATGTGTGTTTTGGGCAAATAAAAGGCAATTACTGGGAGTTATGGAGTGTGGTTGGCATTCCATGAGATTTAGACTATAGAATGTTCCACAGTGGGCTGTACTGGGGGATAAAATGTTGTCCAGGGCTAAAAGGAAGAATCTGTTAGAAGATATATGCATAAAAGGAAGATTTGGTAAATTCTATTTTGGAGTTGTATTTTATTTTTAAAAACAGAAACGATTGTTGAAACGTTACATGTTATATAATTTTAATTACATATTGTGTAATTTTCTACAGGCTTATAAAAAGTCTGAGAGAATTTTAAGTACCAAGGACACATTATATATTATTATTTCTCCTCTAAAAGTGGACTTTTCCATCTGAGGCATGTATATTCTGGAAAAGATAATAAGCAAAGTCCACAGCTTCAGAATTTTTCACTAAGAATTCTCAAACTAATGACGAAATGTTGAAGATAAGTCTCCTCATAGGATTACGAAGCTAAAACTAAATTACCACTTTTTCCTATTTGCAAATAATCTTATTTGCAAATTTGTCTCAAGGCAACTGAATGAAAAGTAGATATTCTTCTCTCTTGACAATCTCCCCGAAATAAATGGGACAAAAAAGCAATTGTCTGACAGAGTCCTATTTTCCTAAAGAAAATATTGTGGATTAATTGACAAAAGTACCTATTAGTCCCCATGACACTAGTGCTTATAGCATTTGGGGCTTGTCTCTTAGTGTGCAATTTAAATATGTATCCATAAAACCCTTGCCAATAATAATAACTTCTTGTCTATTGATGCCACCTAACCATTAAAATCTCTATTAACAATCTCATCTTTGATTTGCTATAGTTTACAAAAAAATATTTTGAGCACCTCTAACTTGCAAATGACATGCTAAAGACAGAGGGAAATACAAAGACGAACACAGTCTCTTCTTTCAAACTTACAATCTAGTCAAGGAGACAGAAATAAAATAGGAAAGTAAATATGGTATGTTTTTGGGAACTTTGCCATGCACTTAAGTGTTTGTGAATCAGGATTTTTCTTTAATTTTGATGATAAAGAAAATAATTTTGAAGAAGTATATTTTGCTTATGTTACCACTTGAAGTGCACTTTACTTCAAAGGGGAGTTATTTTATTTCACAGGTACATCTGTGCAAACATGGTGCTTAATATTATAAGAATTTTATTACATAATAATTTAAAATGGTGATCAAATAACTGCATCATTATGCATACAATAGTTGATAAACAGTTCTGATTACATATCAAATGGAGACCCTTAATGGTGCATTTAAAACATTTATGTAATCTGACGGGAAAGAACATATAGTTACCAAGTAGATTCTCACGTCTGGTAATCCTTAAAATTCTTCTCAGCAGCTATCTATCTAGATATTCAATTACAAATGTAGTGTTTGGAGAAGACACCCCCTTCCTCATTGTTTATACGTTGGGAAGTTTTTGGAAGCAAATATTCTAGGGATATAGAGACTGGAATAATCTAAGGGGAACAAAGCTGGGCAGGAGAACAACAAAAGTGATTCTAGTGTGACTAGCTTCAACTTCTTAGTCTAAGGGGTGGGGGACAGAGAGAAACTTTGTCTCACACATTCTGAAAACTTTCAAAAATGCCAAAGAGGGGAGGTGGATTTAATTTAAGTTTCCCTAGATTAAAGGGAAGTTCTTCATCCTTGAGCTAATATCTCAATACAATCCCAACAAAGAGAAGTTGTTGTTCAGCAAATGTTCATTGAATTAAGGTATTTATTTTTTTTAACTTTTTTTTCTTTGTAGTTGTAGATGGACAAAATGCCTTTATTTTATTTGTTTATTTTTATGTGGTGCTGAGGATCGCACCCAGTGCCCTGGACATGCTAGGGAAGCACTCTGCCGCTGAGCCACAGCTCCAGCCCAAATTAAGGTACTTTAATACACTTTTGCAGGTCAACAGCCATCAGTCCTTCCTTCCTTCCAATGACTATAGAGAGAGCACTGTCATTTGGTTGGATCATTAATAATTTTGTGAAATGTCTTAGTTTAGGAATCATTAAGACATAAATCAAATAAAGAGACCAAAAGAAACAATCATTTTGAGGAACAGCCATTTATGATTAAAGAAAATCACAGTTCATTCTTTGGTGTACTTCCTACTTTAGTTTTTACCATGGTAAGTGTAATATTAGAAATAGGTAAATACTTTCTATTGTGTTAGGACCAAAGAGTTATTAGTTTTGATCTGATAAAACTTTCCTCCAAACTTGAGTATTTATAGACAAATTTCTAGTTTGTAAAACCAAATTCAATGTTGATCTTGTCAGAGAAACTAGGAGTAAGAACAAACACACACACAAGTAGGAAAGTAGAGACTTACTGTATCACGTTGCCTGTTATCTTTCCCTGATATTATCAAGAAGTAGTTCCATGTCAATAGTAACAACAAAACCAGTGGTATCATGTAGAGCTCAAAGTTCCAGACAACAAAGAGAAAGAGCTGGAGGAGAGAGAAGAGAGAAAAAGAGATGAGTCAACTCTGAATTTCATTAGATGGACTTTCTTATTCATTCTTTACTTCAAAAACCACAAAAACTAAGTACTTCAGAACAGGAAGATTTATCTTGAAAACAAAAGCCCTAAGAACTTGTTAGGTATTTTTCTAAAAGCATAACTGACCCCTTGAAGGCCACTGTTAAGATTTTTTTTTCACATTGTTTAATTTCTGTGAAGGAAAAACTGATATCATTACATTGTCAAAGAGGCAATTTTAATTTTTCTCCTCCAGTGAAATTATTGTTAGGTTTGACAAAAAAAAATTTAAAAAGACAGCAAAATGAGCTTTGCTGCATTGTTAGAATAGCCTGTTCTATCTGCCTTAATGACAAAGAATGAATCACTATTTAACATTAGGAACTTTTTTAAAAATCTCACTTGGATAACACAATGCAACCAGAATAATAGGCAGATGAAAATACCAAGTCTACACCTGAGAGCTCCAAAGATGTCACATTATGAAAAAGCACTGCTACCAACAAGTGTGAAAAAAAGTTGGCTTAATATTCAGTATAGAAATCAAACATCTATTGAAAAAAAAAAGAGTAATTCTATCAAGTTATTTTGCCAAAGGAAATTCTAAAATGCCTATTTATATTATTTTTAAAAGCCATCTATTTCTCTAAATATATAAACCATTTTTTGTTGTAAGATAAATGTTAAACTAAGAACCCAGGGTAGCAGATGGAGCCATTCTAAGAGCATTTACACTGGAAAACAGCACAACTTTGGATGTGACGTGTGACTCACACCACACCCCCACCAAACTCCTGGACAGATCATCTAAATTCACTGGGTCTGTGGCTCCTGCTGTCAAACTAAGGTTATGTTAAGTTAGGTGGGATTTAAGAGCTGACTCTAATGCTAACTAGCTGTACAACCTTTCAGCAACCTATATATTCTCTCTTTAATTTCTTTCTCTAAAATGGGGGCAATAGAAGTGTCACTTCACAGGTAGGAGAATTAAATCAATAAAATGCCTAAGGATTCAATATACTGCTTGGTACCCAATACGTGGGCAAAACCATTATTGTGTAAATATTATTGATATTCAGGAAATTTAATTATTCACTAAGGTCCTCAAATTCTAATAGTGAAAGCTGGAAAGTCATCTGCCTACTAAAATTTAGCTGAATGGTAACTTTACTAGGAATTTCAGCTGGTTGGGATGACAAGCACCTTGTATTTGATAGGTCCGGACATGGAGGGCGTAAGGAGACTCATGCCAGGCACAGCAGCATGGGCTACCTGCAGCCTCATAATACCTCTCAGTCTAGTCTACAGCCTGCCCAAATGGCAGAGAGAAGTAAACTGTGTGGAGTGATAGAGATCCCATCCTGATAGCTGCAAGACCCAGGCTCTAGACCTTAGAAAGTCACGTTGTCTCTGTGTTTTCACGTCTAGACAGAGGTCTATAAACCTGATCACCTCAATACTTCAATATTTGAAATGACTTTATGACATGACTGTACCATCTCATTTTTTAACACTAAATGTTGAAAATAGTACATTGTATTCAATTTTTTCATATTTATAACCCAGATGAACACCAAAAAGCATAATTAATGATTTAGTAACCCAAGAAATAAATTTTGAACAGAATTACATGGTAACTATAGATTTAAATTCCTCAATAAGAAAATTTCCAAATATTGCAAAACATGAAACATGACCCATATCTTTTCTTTCATCATAAAAGCAGAAAGATTTCTATAAAGATAAAATATTTGCATTTAATTTTTGAAATTTGTAAAATATATACAAAGATGATAAAAATTATGATTTATGGATATGATTATTAAAATTCATGTTTATAAAAATAATTCAGGAAATGAACTAAGATAAATTTAATAGACATTAATATATGTAAAGGGGAGAATTATTTTTTACTAGAATCCATATTAATTCTTTATACATTTTGTGTAACGTTTAGACACCCATGAGAATGTAAAATCCTTAAGGTTAGAGACTTCTTTTTTGTTCACTGTTTTATATCCAGAGCTTAGAATACTACTTAAATACTCAGTAAGTAAATTTTTATTCAATTAATGAGGAATTGGACACTGGATTCCTAAATTACTCAACAGAAATATATTTAACTATTAGTAAAATTACTATAGAGCCACTACATAAAACCAATGGACTTCAGAAAAATGCATTCAGAACTACAACCTTGGATACAACTAGCAAATTTCTCTCCCCAATAAATAAGTCTACCTTAGTATTTCTGGACAATATTCTCTTTACATCCTGGCTATGCAGGCATGAACTGTTTTGCATGTTATGGTCTGAGCACAGTCTTTCCTCTAGGCCCTTCTTATGTTTGCCTTTTTTGAGAGTACTCCCTCTACTCAGTATGTTCTAACCTCATGGCAGGTCTTAAGGTTATTCTACTACTAAATATGACAAACTGTAATCATTTTTAACCTGTTGAGCATATATATTCTCCCTTGTAATGTCTACTCCTAGTGTATTCCAGAATAAACTTTTTGTAATGTCTATGTATTGGTGTTAGTTATAGGCCTTTTTACATAGAAAAAAACCTTTCTAGATAATAATTCTGCAAGTAATCAAAACATCTTCCATGCTTTTTTCTTCTCTAGGTTTGATATCACCGATTGCTTCAAGCACAGTAACAAAGTATGATTTCTGGGAACTTCCCTATTTTAGACTTCTACCTTTTATCAGATACAAATCAATATATCAATAGCTTTCTTAAAATGGAATACTCAGAACTGGCATGAAACTTCTCATGAATACCTGTAGTGTATATGCATCCTGTAGACATGGGCACCAGAACATGGGTTAGGGAAAGACACAGAAAAGAGAAACAAAGGAAGAAATTACATTAGGTTTAGGGATCCTGGCAGTGGAAAAACAGTCTCCTTTCCTAGTATGTGTTCTTTAAGAATCTATTATTTGAGTAATTGAGAAAGGAACTCCTATTCTTGAAACATCTTTATCTTTTAAAACCCCAAGAAATCTTTGAATAGATTCTAAATACATAAGCATTTATTTATTTTTTCTTTTTCAACACCCAATTGAAGTTTACAAAAGGTTAAAATATATTCATTGAATACTTACCATGTATGTGCTATGAAACACTGGGTGTTCAAAAGCAGGAAAAACATCATCTCAGGAGTCAGATTGTTAAGAATCACTAAGAAAAAGAAATCCTTCACTATATTGTTCTTATTAGCTGGTGAGAGTCCTCTGATAAAAAGTGCCCTCAGAGAAATAAAGCAACTTTTTTACTCATTCTCTTTACAGAGAATGGGTCCCTCTTCCTAGGGACCCATTGTGCTAAACTTCTTCCCTACAGAAAAACTGTGATAATGAGCCAAGTGTAGTGGCACATGCCTGTAATCCCAGGGGCTTGGGAGGCTGAGGCAGGAGGATCCTGAGTTCAAAGCAAGTCTCAGCAACTTAGTGAGACCCTGTCTCTTAAAAAACAAACAAACAAACAAACAAAACCCACCAAAAACCATAAAAAAGGGCTTGGCGTGTGGCTCTGGTTAAGCATCCCTGGGTTCAATTCCCAGTACAAAAAACAAAAACAACAAAACTTAGATAATGAAAAGGCTAGGCCTTCAGTATCCCAGTAGGGCATCAGGAGAAAGAAGCTGCAGGTGGGAGAAAACCCAAGGATGGCCAGATCAGCTTCGGATCTGTCCTTGGTCCTGACTACACTTTTCCATAGGTTGAGATATATTCATGGGTTAAAATAGGATGAGAAAAGAAATTAAGAAATAAATCCTCAACACATTCACAGAATACAAATATAAACCATAAAATGTCTAGCATTTGTCCTTATCCAAACTTCTAGAATCCCTTTTACCTGTGTGGAATGTGGAAAGAGGACCCAAGGATTCTAGATTTTTTTTAGGTGACAAGGACTCTCACAAATTTATATAGAATTTAATTTCATTCAATTCCATCACTATCATATCCTTCCATTATTTCCCCTTCCATGTCACACAGTCTCCTCAACTGTCTCTTTCACTGTCTCCCACTTCACCCCTGACACCCATGTTTTATAAGGAAACTGGGACCATCTACATTTCACTTTTAAAGAACCCATGCCTCCATTCCAAACCAACAATGTAGGCATATATTAGTTATCCCAGATCTCTATAAACTGAAACTATTCTAAGTATTTGATGGTTTTCTTTTTAAAAAAATTACTAAATGGTGGTTGTGATTTATATTTAGAATTCTATAGCAGAAACTCTTCATGAGACATATTAGCCAAATAGTGATAGTACACACAACCTCCATCATTAGGAAAGAATACTGAGAGTTCTACCCATTATCCTGACTGTCCAATGTCCTCTTTCAACTAACTTTGGAATGTCAACCAAGATAATGGAATCCCTCAACAGACTGCTGCTGTTTCGTCCATTGAAGAGTGCATCAGTGTTCACGGTAGGCTTAGAGGCATGCACGTTCCCTAGTTCCTAGCCATGAACTTGAGCAAGTTACTAGATTTCATTTAGCTTTATCATCTGAAGAGGGGAAATTATATGATTTACTTGGTGGCTGTGAGGTGGAATTTGCCTACTGTTGGCACCTACAAGGTGCTCAGAAAACAGAATTAGATTGACTCATATTATGTATAATTCTTTTTTGGACTTCTTGCAGTTTATCACATTTCCTACACTGCCTTAGAACATATAGTTAATGATTGTTTTAAGATAAGAGAGATCTTAAAGAAGTGATGCCAACTAGAAAAGGAAGAGATAATGAAATAAGTGCCATTTTCAGTGTTTAGATTGTGATGATCATGTACAGTGAAGACCCTAGTTTGTTCATGCTGCTCTTTATCCAGGTATTTTGTGATTGATCAAGAGTATCAAATATGATGAAAGCAGAAGCCTAAAAAAAAACACATGACACAGCCACCCCATCATCTTAGCTGAAAGCTAGCACCCAGGAGCACAGCTG